TGGGCCTTCCTGATCATCAGCTCGAAAGCTCCCAGGTTCACGACGTCCAAGGCGTCGTACGTGAGGGCTAACTCCACGGCTTGCATGATCATGAAATGCTCACCGACGCCCCAGAACTCGGCCTTGAGGCCGTGCGTGTGCTCCCAGAAGCGGTGCCAGTCAATAGCACCTCCGTTGCGGCGATTGATGAACTTCAGGCACCATAACGTCGTGCGAGGGCCTGGCACCGGGAAGTCCACGAAGTTCACCTCCTGCACGGCATCCACTGCCGCTCGGAACACCGCCTTCACTCTCTGCCCACCGATGGTCGTCACGGTCATCAGCCGCGCGTCGCCTACCGCCTCCGCCCCCGCGAACTCGATCTCGCCGCCCTGCGGCACGAAGGCGAGCAGCACCCACTGCGGCGGCACCCCCTGCTCTTGCATAGCACGCGTGCCCTGCACAATGGCCTGCGGCAAGAGGGCCACCGCATCACCGCGACGAAGCCCAGCCCGCGTCTCGACCGCCAGCCAGCTGCCTGCTCCCCCCTGAGCGGGCGCGGGTGCAGCACCCGCGGCGGCCGCCGCGCCAGGCGCGGGCGGCCCAGGAGCAGGCGCGGCGGCTGGTACCCCCGGCGGCGTCGCGCTGCCGTGCACCAGCGCGGGGAGCGGCGCCACCGTAGTCTGCAGCGCCATGGCGTGGGCGGTCGCCTCACCCGTCCACTGGGCGATCTGAGCCGCCGTCGGAGCGGCGGCGAACCTGTAGCACATCGCCCTCGTCACGCCGGGCGGAGGTGGCCACCGCTGCGTCGCGAAGCGGATCCCCACCACGTCCGCATTGGCAGGTCCATACTCTTCATCATATACTTGTCCATCTGGCGTGACAATGAGGAACCTAGTCGCCGATGACGCCAGCACGCCGAGCAACAGCCTCTGGTGCCACAGGGCCTCCGGCGTCGCGTACCATACGAAGACCCAGGCCACCGCCGCCTGGACCGCCTGCGCCGCCACTCCCAGCCCCGGCGCCGCCTGCAGGGGCAGCGGCCCCACCGGGGCTGCGGCCGCCATTGCGCGCGAAGCCGAGGGCGACGAACGTCGAGCTGGCCGCGAGCAGCAGCACCGTCCAGGCCCACAGGCGGCTGTTGCCCGCCAGCACCTCGGGGTCGCTCACCCCGCACGTCGGCTCGGGGAGCGGTGGCGCGCCTGGGCACGCGGGTATCGCCGGGCACGGCGGGCAGGCGGGGCACGCGGGTACCGCTGGGCAGCTGCCCGCCGAGACTATGGCGGCGGTGCCCAACGATCGAACAACCTCGTAGAAAAGGTTTAGCCCGAAATCCATGCCACCTGAGGCCTCGCTTGAGCCCAGAGAAGACTACGGAAGCGTTGTACCGCTTAGCGGCGGTCGGGCTTGCCTAGATGATTCACGTGCGAGCACTTACATATACAACACATACAATGTTTTATACATATATATATATATATATATAGAGAGAGAGAGAGAGAGAGAGAGAGAGAGCCTGGCGAAGGTCCCAACCATATGCAAATGTGGGTACCGTAATTGTGAATATCTGCTTCGGTGAAGCTCCCTATGGGGCCACGAAGCGCTGCACTGGGCGGGGGGGAACGCTGTACTGTGTGGGTGGTGTGCCGAATTGGGCTTCCAGGACGCATGCGGACGGTCCCACTGAGGGCTTCGGTGGAGCTCCCTATGGGGCCACGAAGCGCTCTACTGAGTGAGTGAAAATCCCACAATGGGTTGCCGGGACGCATGCGGACGGTTCCACTGGGGGCTTCGGTGGAGCCCCCCTATGGGGCCACGAAACGCTGCACTGCGCGGGTGAAAATACCAAATTACATTTCCCGGACGCATACAGACGGTGGCACTGGGGCTTTGGGTGGAGCCCCCTATGGGGCCACGAAACGCTGCAATGGGTGGGTGAAAATGCCAAATTGGGCTTCCCGGACGCATACGGACGAGGGCACTGGGGCCTTCGGTTGAGCTCCCTATGGGGCCACGGAACGCTGTACTGGGTGGGTGAAACGCAGGGAGGAGGGGGAGGAGGGCAACGAAACGCTGTACTGGGTGTGCGGGACGCATGCGGACGGTAGCGCTGGGACCTTCGGTGGGGCTCCCTATGGGGCCACGAAACGCTGTACTGGGTGTGCGGGACGCATGCGGACGGCAGCACTGGGACCTTCGGTGGGGCTCCCTATGGGGCCACGGAACGCTGTACTGGGTGGGTGAAACGCAGGGATGAGGGGGAGGAGGGCCACGAAACGATGTACTGGGTGTGCGGAACGCATGCGGACGGTAGCAATGGGACCTTCGGTGGAGCTCCCTATGGGGCCACGAAACGTTGTACTGGGTGTGCGGGACGCATGCGGACGGTAGCACCTTCGGTGGGACTCCCTATGGAGCCACGAAGCGCTGTACTGGGTGTGCGGAACGCATGCGGACGGTAGCACTGAGACCTTCGGTGGGGCCCCCTATGGGGCCACGGAACGCTGTACTGGGTGGGTGTAACGCAGGGAGGAGGGCGAGGAGGGCCACGAAACGCTGTACTGGGTGTACGGGACGCATGCGGACGGTAGCACTGGGACCTTCGGTGAGGCTCCCTATGGAACCACGAAGCGCTGCCCTGGGTGTGCGGGACGCATGCGGACGGTAAGGAGGAGGGGGGGGGGGCACGAGAGGAGGAGAACGCGGGGACCGCCTTTTCAAAACGAGGACCCAAGACAACATGATGGTTGGGAAAAAAGAGAAAGAGAGAGAGAGAGAGAAGAAATAAAGAGGGAGAGAGAAAAAGAGACACACAGAAAGACAGAAAGAGAAAGAAAGAGGGAGAGAGGCACAGACAGACAGAAGGACAGAGAAAGAGGGAGAGAGAGAGAGAGAGAACAACACTTGTTCTGTTCGGGAGGCAGAGGCGAAAGAGGATGAGGAGCCGAAGAGGGAAGAGGGGGCCTGCCACCGTTTCTGGGCCCAGCGCAAGCACGAACGCACGACTACTGCGTGCAGACCATCCTGCGGCCGTCGGTGCGGTTTGAGTCTGCCCGCCGGAGCGCTCGAGCTGACGAGAGAACCCGACACACGACATCGTGGAAAAGCCCGGCGCCGTGGAGAGGTCACGACCAGGACTGTCGGCAGCACCTGTCAGTGCACCAGACGCTATTCGCCGGGGCCGATCGGTGAGGGCGACATAGCCCGCGAAAGAAGAGCACGGTCGAGTCGATCCGCCCCGTCTGTCTTAGTTCTCGGCTCTGTCGAGCAGGATCGATCGGTGAGGGCTGGGGGGAAAGCGCCCGTCGTGACCTCGTCGCGGCGCCCAGGCGCGAAAGACAGAGCGCACCCCTTGGGAGAGAGCGCGCCCTCGGCGGATGAGGAGCTCCACTCCTCCCGCTCCGCCCCCTCCTTTCCCGCTCATCACCCTCCAGATGCTAGACAAAGATGTACTCCTCGTCTCCCCCCTCCCCAGAGCCCTAGAGCCCTCATTCCCTCCCCCTTCCTGGTAGAACCGCCAAAGACCTCGTGAGCGCCGTTGCACCGAGCAACAAAATGCCAAGCCCTGTTCACTGCTTCCCTCCCTCCCTTCCTTTGGGCCCTCGAGAGACGGGGCACGCTGGCGCCGCACCCCGTAATGAAACAACTACCGTCGTCTTGGCGCGCCGCAAAAACTGGTGGCGCGTGCAAGCCAAAAGAACTACAACTGGCACCAGTCAGGCATGCGATTTGGCAGAGTCCACCGGGACCTGGCAAGAAACTGCACAGGAGTGGTCCTTGTGCTGGTCCAGACAAGGGCCAGAGTGGCCCAGAACCCGGACCTGTGACGTCGTTTCTTGTCTGCACGGGGTCCCAGAAGCTCTCGACCCATTACCCAGGGCCGAATGTTTGTCTTCGGACATGTTAGATTGTCCCAGAACCAAAACGGGCCTCTGGATGCCGAAACAAACGACAACAACAGGAACACGCTAGGATCTGAGAACAAAGATCGTCGTCGGCGTGGTCTGGGAGAGAAAAAATCGATGTCGACGTCGGATGCCAGCCGACCTTGCCAAAAACGGGCGCCCTACATCGGAGGAGGCCCCTCCCGAACGAGGAGGGAGGAGGGAGGGAAGGGAGGATGACCAAAGGGGACGGGGGAGGAGGGAGAAAGGAGGAGGTCTCCAGAGGTGGCCTTGGAGGTCCCCTGGGGTCCCCTGAGGTCCCCAGAAGCAGAACGCAAACGCTACCCAGGAACGTACCCAACCCAATCCACCCCGATGGCCAGTCCGAAGGGGCACCAGAAGGGATCCATCCAGAAAGGCAACCCACATGGTGCAAAATGAAATCCGATGGTGAAGGCGAGGAGGGGATGAGATGCGAAGATGAGCGGGTCTTCGCAACGCCATCCTGGCTGCTGCACCCCGCAGCTTCTGACCATGCAAGAACCGAGTTGAACTGAGCTGGACCGCCAAGCTCTGTGTTTCACAAGCGCGCCGCCAAGTCCGCAGGCGGCCCGCGGGGGTGGGGGGGGAAGCTCCAGCCCCAGGCCACGGAGAGGGTCACTCCCAGAGAAATGGCAGCCTTGCGGGACGGACCGCACCCCGCTGGACCTCCCCAGGAGCTCATGAATGCGCTGGCCGTTGCGCAATTGGCAACACCCCCATGGAGGCGAGTCTACTTTGGATCCCTCTCCGCTGGACCTCCTGGGCGCCCACGAAGGCGGCTTTACGCACCACTCCGTACTCCGCTGGCCCTTCCCGCTCCCCCCTTCGTGTCTTGGGCAATGTTGGTCTTCTCGCGCGGCCAGTGCGTGACTCATCAAAAGAAAGTCTCCAGGGGGTCCGCACGACGCTCAGCGCTTGAGCACCCGCGCGCCCCTGACTGGGACAGGCGCTCTTCCCCCGCGGATAAGGCCGGGAGGAGGCGGAGGAAGGCGAGAGGAGAGGAAAGGAGGAGGACCAGGAAGAGGAAAGGGGTACCAGCGCCCTACTCAGACGCAGGAGGATTGAAAACAACTAGACTCGAACCTCGAGAATCGAGGAGGAGGGAGGAGAACGGAAGGGATGCCCGAAGCCTCAGCTGGCGCTCCTCCGGTTACTAACCGGTGCTGCCGCGTGCGCCTCAGCTCTTTCCACTCTTGGGAAGTCCTGGCACCGCAACGATCTCGTCAAACTTCTTTCGCGCCATGAGGAAGGTCAGCAGGGCCTCGTCACCCCGCTGCCCCACCCTCCTGCCTCGCGCCTGCTTTCTCCTGCTTGCTTCCCCTCCACCTCCTCCTCCTCCTCTTCCTCCTCCTCCTTTTCCTCCTCCTCCTCCTCCTCTTGTTCCTCTTCTTCCTCCTCTTCCACATCCTCTTCATTGTCTTTCTCCTTATCTTCCATATCTCCCCCGCCTCCTCCTCCTCCTCCTCCTCCTCCTCCTCGCTCCTCCTCCTCCTCATCATCATCATCTCATCATCATCATCATCATCATCATCATCATCATCATCATCCTCATCCTCATCCTCATCCTCATCCTCATCCTCATCCTCATCCTCATCCTCATCCTCATCCTCATCCTCATCCTCATCATCCTCATCCAGCTCACATATTGCCACACGTGTGGCCTTTTCGCCACATTGGACTTCCGCTCCGTCGCAAAACACAGTGCCAGCCGCGAGACAGCAGGGGCAGGGGAATTCGAATTCCATCGCCCACGGGCTGCATCCGAGGCGAGAAGCGCCGCCTCGTGCGGTCGCCCCGGCTGCGGTTTCGGAGGCGGCCGGATCTGCCTGGCCTTGCCTCTTCATGGTTGCTGGTGAGGCCAGTGCGAGAAGAGAGCAGCACCATGGCTAGAAGGAACACGAATCTAGCAACGCTTCCACTCCTCATCCTCCCCCTCTTCGTTTCTCTTCTTCTCGTCAATCCCCCTACTTGCGTTATGTGAAAAGGTTTGTGGATGAATTCTTTATTCTTTATAGATATTTCTATATATATGTATATGAACGTCGTCCAGCAGCCGTCGTTTCGCCTGAGACTTCCAAGCAATGTACTGAAGAACCCGCACTGCCAGCTGCATCTTGGGCCCGGACGGCCACGACCCCGTGCTCTCTCCCACGTCGTGGCTCTGCTTGGCCCGAGACTCCCTTGCACACTACTGTGGAATCGTGCTCTCGCCCCAATGCCAGCTACATGTTGGGTCCGGACGGCCACGATCCCGTGTTCTCTCCCCTGTCCTGGCTCCGCTTGGCCCGAGACTCCCTCGCACACTACTGTGGAATCGTGCTCTCGCCCCATTGCCGGCTGCCGATTTGGCCTGGACGGCCACGATCCTGGCTCCGGTTCGCCTGAGACCTCCTCGCCATCCCCTCACGAATCGCGCTCTCGCAGGAGTACCGGCTACAGCTCTGGTGCTGACGGAGACAACTCCTCGTTAAAAAACACTATGGTGCGCATAGCCATGCTCTCCCCGCTTTCCAGGCTCAGGTTTGCAGGCGACTCCCTTGCCATCTATCCAGGGTCGTCTTCTCGTCTCGATGCCGAGGGGAGCTCGGTATGGGCCCAGTACGGGGAGGGGGGCCGCGAAATCACCTCTCTCTTTACACAAAAAAAAGATGGGGGCGGGGGGGGGGGGGCGGGGGGGGGGGGGGAGGGGGCCGGGGGGCAGCGGGTCGGTCGGGGGGAAGCCAGTGAAAAGGTGCACCTTGAAAATGTGCAGCGGAGAACGGTGGGCCTTTCGCAGGAATTAGCACCGCCAGGTACTTTCACTAGCAAATAAGTCACACACTTTAAAAAAAAATGAAATATTTATATTTTTCCAAAACAGGGTAAAACTCCTACGGGTGTTTTCTCGTTATTATTCTCTTCCTATCTTTTATTTCTCTTTTCTTCTCTCCCGGTCGCTGTTTTTTCCAGCTCTTTAAAAAAAAACACCCCAAACGACTACACCCCCTACCCCCCATCCTACAGCACACCCCCCACGACTAAACTTGAGAGGCAGGGTAGGAATTCCAAAACCAGACCACCTCCGGCGCGTTAGCCTCGTGGAGTGCGTGTATGACGACGTTAACGATGGTTTTTGTGTGGGGTGGTTTCCCGTGATACACCGTGCCTTTTCTCTGCAGCCCGTTTCGCGCATCCTGTCCTCTCCCTCCTCCCTCCTCCCTCCTCCACCTCCTCCTCCAACTCCTCCTCCTCCTCCTCCCTCCCTCCCTCCCTCCCTCCCCTCCCTCCCTCCCTCTCCTCCCTCCCTCTCCTCCCGCCCCAATTCGCTCTCGCCTCAATGCTGGTACATGATGTGTCCAGACGGCCACGGTCCCGCAGGTCGTGCAGGCCGCACAGGTCCCACAGGCTCCACAGGTCCCACAGGTCCCAAAGGTCCCCCGAGTTCCGCAGGCCCCCACAAACTCCAGAGGTCCCACGGATCCACGGGTCCCACAGGTCTCACATGCCCCACAGCCTCCACAAGCACCTCAGACGCCACACCTTCCACAGCTCCCGCAGGTCCCACAGGTGTCGCAGGTCGTGCTGGTCCCTTCGGCCCCAGAGGTCCACGGGCCGAAAAGGTCCCTGGATCCCACGGGTCCCACAGTGCCCACATGCCCCCCGGGTCCCACAAGTCTCACAGGTCCCACAGATCCCACAAGCCACAAAAGCCCCCCAGGCCCCACAAGTCCCAAATGTCGACGGTCACACAGGTCTTCCGGGTCCCAAAGGCCCCACAGGTCCCACAGGTCCCGCCAGTCCCACAGGCTACACAGGCGCAACAGGTGCCAACGGTCCCACAAGTCCAACAGGTCCCGCAGGTCGTACAGGCCGCACAGGTCCCTCCAGGCCCCACAGGTCCCTCAGGTACCACAGGTTCCTCAGGTACCACAGGTTCCTCAGGTACCACAGGTACCACATGTCCCTTAGGTCACAGAAATCCTAGGTCCCACAGCTCTAAGGGGTCGCACCCGTCCCACAGGCCGCACGGGTCCCACAGGTCCCACAGATCCCACATGTCCCACGGGCTCCACAGGTCCCACAGGTGTTGCAGGTCTCACGGGCCGAAAGGCCACAGAGGTCCTCCAGGTCCCACAGGCCCCACATGTCTCGCAGGTCACAAAAGTCGCACAAGTTCACAGTTTCAGACTGCCTCATAAACGCCACAGGTCCCACAAGTCACACAGTTCCCACCTCCCCCGCCGGTCACTCAGGTAGGTTTCACGGGCCCCAGCGGTCCCACAGGTCCAAGAGGTTGCACAAGTCAAAATGGTCCCACGGGCCCCATAGGTCCCAACGGTCCCACATGTCCCCCATGTCCAACAGGTCGTGCAGGGCCCACCGACCCCACAGGTTCCACAGGTCAAACGGGTCAAACATGGCGCCACAGGTCCCACGGATCCCGCATGTCCCACAGGCCACACAGGTCCCGCAGGTCATACAGGCCGCGCAGGTACCTGAAGTCACACAGGCTCGAGAAGCCCCACAGGTCCAACGTGCCCAACAGGTCTCACACGTCCCACATGTCCCACAGGCCCCGCAGGCCCGACAGGCCCCACGGGTCTCACAGGTCCCACAGGTCCCACAGGTACAGCAGGTCGTACAGGCTGCACCTCAGGTCCCACAGGTCTCACAAGCCCTACAAAAAAAAAGGTTCCACAGGTCCCACAGGTCCCACCGGTCTCACCGGCCCCACCAGTCCCACAAATGTCCCGCAGATCGCACACGTCCACTGGCCCCACATGTCACATGTCCCACGGGTCTCACAGGTCGCACAGGCCCCAGGTCCCAAAAGTCTTACAGGTCCCAGGCCACACGGTCTTTTGCTGCTATTAAGATGACTTGGTGGGACTATGCTCCTCCATGATGTGTCCCCCCTCCTCCGCTCCCCTCTCCTCATCTCCCCCTCCTCCCCTCCGCTTCTTCGCGCTCTGTCTCCCCTCTCGCCCTATCAAAAATCCGAATAGAATGTCAGGCAAAGGGATGGTGCAAAAGGTGTGCAGACGTGACGACGATGACGACGATGATGCCGACGATGACGACGACCATGATGATGACTCCGACGACACCAACTAGGGAACCGAATTCTATACACCGAAGCTGTTTCTGGCTCCGCACCGAAGCTCGCACAAGAAAGCGGATCCTGGTGTATACGGGATCCTATGATAGAACATGCGGAAACCAGTATACACCACACGATCCCGACGTCGTCCCCGACCCTCAAAAGGTCCTGGGATTGACAAACAGCCCGCCTCTGGTAATGTATATGTTCCATTTTCCGACCAACGACACCGCCGACGATCCCTGGACCCGTCCTGTAGTGAGTTCTGACCCGGATTTCGGAGCGAATCCAGCCGTGGCGACGAGGGACTCCACGAGGACCAATAGAGCGAAAAAACGACTGGAGGAGGAGAACAAGGACGAGGACGAGACGGGACCAGACGAGCGCCAGTCGTGCGCGCTACGCCAGAAAGCCCGCCAGTGCCCATTAGAGCACGGCGTGGAGGCCGTAGCCTCCGCTCAAAGGTGCGAACTTCATGGACAGGCTGGCCAGCCGCTCATGGAGCGAACTCGTAGAAGGCGAACGAGGGCTGTGCGCGGGAGACGGAGAAGCTGGAGGCTCTCGAAATATTAATCAATTTAACGGGCCGTTCAAATAGCTCGGTGTGTAGACCCCCCGCGGCGGCGGCAAGGTGGAGGAGCTGGCGAGCCACCAATGCGGAACATCCTCCGGGCCTATCTAAGGCTAGGCGGGCGAGGCCGTGGCCTCCAGTCTGCAGACACTGTTCTGTGCGATATGGGAAACATGCGCACGTGCTGGTAGACAGATAAAAAGCTTGGGATATGGAGAAGGGAGGAGAAGGGGTAGAAGAAGGAGGAGGAGGAGGAGGAGGACAAGGATGAGGAGGACGACGATGAGGAGGACGAGGAAGAGGAGGAAGAGTGGTGTTGGGGGGGGCAAGAAGGTCACAATACAGCTGCTCCCCAGACCCCTCTCAAGACGTACCCTGACCAGAACTTCGAAGAGTGTCCAACCGTGGCGAACAGGGCTCTCAAAGAAGAGCAGCGGTAATGGTATCATCTCGTGCTCTGAAAAATGAGGAGGAGGAGGAGGAAGAGAAGGTGGACGAGGGGGAAGAGGCGTCTCGCGGAGCGGGTGAACGCGTGCGGATGTGCTGTGAGAGACATAAAACAGCGTGAGATGCGGAAGGAGGAGAAAGGTGAAGGAAGAGGGAGAGGACGGAGGAACAGGAGAGGGGTGAGGAGGACCGCGAAGACGAGGAGGATGAGCAGGAGGAGGAGGAGAACAAGGAGGAGTAGAAGGAGGAAGAGGAAAAAGAGGAGGAGCTGCATAGGAGGAACATGATGAGGAGGAGGACCACGACGAGGACGGGGGGGATTGAGCATGTCGCTAAGGAGGTGGCAGAACTACGAAGCCCTCTGGGCAACATGGGCTCAAGCCGACCGGCTGCATCGACCTGTTCTTCAAGAATCACGCACATGCTTAAATGCCTTTGAAAAAAAGAGCGCCCATCAGGCGCTCAAACATTTAAACGCAGTCCGTTCGCTTACCCCGCTCACTCCCGCCCAAAGAACCCCGTCTGTTGGCGGTGTACCAGCCTATCCTGCCGTGAACCACTGCACCATCACGCCTCTGCTTCAAAGAGGGATGCAAGAGGGAGGAGTTCGTCCAAGACCTTTGCCTCCCCTTTGGAAGGGTCTGGGTGTCTGTCGAACATACGCGTCCAATTAAGCTGGGCGTGGGGCGACTTAAAACGCACAGGGCACTTCTTGAGGAGGTTGACAGCTCTCTGCCCATGGCTGATAGCCCCCTAGCCAAAGACAGCAACCGAAATACCTGTTGCCACTCTGGGGACCTCCGAAAAATCTGCGCCCGCTCGGACAGTCGAGGAGGAGGAGGAGGAGGAGAAGGACACGAGGCTGTGAGCACGAGAGGAAGGAGTAGAGACATTCACAGCAGGCCTCAAGTCCTGGCCTCAACCCTGCGTCGAGAAGCCCTGGAACTCTCTCATGGCCACCAACTTCGCTATCACGCTTCTCGCGTTGGGATTGCGGGTGGGGGCTCCGCTCTTCGTCTCGGTCTTGGGCGTGGAACCAATAGCACTCACCACTTCCATCTGCACCGCCTCAGCTCTGGTACGACCATCAGGTTGATACGCCAACGGTCCTCGGTCCAGTGACGCTGACGCTGGCACTTCTTCTGCAGATCTGTCCGTCCACGCTCTTCGCCGACCCGTGGCACGCCATCGGCATTTTCCTCGGTTCCGCAGGGATGCTCATGTCGCCAGCGATCATATCCACTAAGGCGATCCAACAGCGATCGCGTGACGGCATCGTCCTCTGAAGGCCTTCGAAGTCCCCGGCCTTCTTCAGCGCCTTCCTCTCTGCATCGTAGCCTCGCCCCGACTGCTGCATCCCGCCCAAATGTGACTGTGGTCTCGAGAACTCACTTCAGCCTACAATTCCCACCATCTATGCCTACGACCGTCTTTGCCCTGGCCACCGCCAGCTTGCGAACCCGCGCATCAGTGGAGCCCGCTGCCTTCTGCTTCGGAGCCAGCCCCTCGGAGTTCGACTTGCGGATCGCATTCGCCCGCGCATGCATCGCCCTCTTGTGGTAAGAAGCGTTGCCGGGAATGCTGGCGGGCTTCAGCAAGAGAAAGAAAGCTACACTTGACACAACACGGACCGATGAAGGCCACCAGACGGACCTCTCCAAGGCGGGCATAAGCACGGCTGCCGCTTGCCTCGAGCAAAACAATGTAGTTTCGCATTCGCCGTCGTCGGGAAAACAAGATCGCGTTCCCTCAATGACAACATCTGCGGTGCTCCCGAAACTCATGAACTCGAAGCTGCTTGTGCGCAGGACATGAAACGCGGAACACCATCGATCCAATATGCACACTGGCAGAGATACTCCCGAGAAGGTAGAGCACGCAGAAGATCAGGAGGAGGAACACCGGAATCAAGCATGCTCTCTGTCGGGGGGCGTCAAACAGCCACGGCGGATCAAACAAGGCAAACCCCCCACGTCTCTGGAGTGTTCTCTTGGCAAATCGGTCGGCGCGGGCCAGCGCATTCAAGTCCTCCCACTGCTGATCCAGCCACAAATTGCTTTGGTGCGTGGCTTTCCCTCGTCTAGGAAACTGAGCCACCCCATATGCCGCCCCTGTTTCTCCGAGAAGAAGAATATGATCCTAGGGATATTTGGCCATTTGGCGTAGCTATTGTAGTCGCTGGCACCGAAGATTACTTGCAGTAGTGGGTAGATTCAATCGCCGTCGAACTTCATAGTTGCTAAGAGTACGACAGCAGGCTGTAGTTCCTTTATTATCATGACGTTTGGTAGTCCATTCCCCCAACAGTTGACCCCGAGCATGTGCAGCAGTAGAGCCATCAATATGTTCAGCGGCCCAATCAGAGAGTCTCCTAACCTCCCCTACCGAGAGATAGGTATTCATCACCACCCCGTTAAATATCACGTTCTTGCTTTTGCGTGGAACACGGCTAAAGCAGAACTTCCCAAGCTACGACGATTCAACCCCGCCGAAGTCGCCCAGGTGCCTGAGACATAGCTTGGGGCCCCACTCGAACTCGATGCCCTGCTTGCGGTAGAATTGTTGCATGTACTGATGAGACCCCTTCCCATATGCTCTGAGCAACGCTTCTTTTTGGTCCGCATGTTGGCACAACACTGTCGGCGCGCTGACGTGCACACGTAGCTGCATGTCCCACTCGCAGATCCGAGCGGCAACACCCCTCGCGCCCCTGCAAAGGCCAACATGCCATCCGCATGCGCGCCGTAGCTAAAGTCCACCGTCTTCTGCGTCACTGGCTCTTTACATGAAAGAACTTACGATCTGCCTCGCTTGAAGAGTTCTTAGTCCATGAGTCCACGCAGGGGTTCAATGCATTAGTGAATTTGTCGGACATCCACGCCCAGCCTCCAGCATCCGCACGAAGAAAGCAGATCGCCTGAGAATGCCGCTTTCGTGTCAGTGCTGCGGGGCCTGGCATGAAGGAGCGATCAATCACCTCATCCAAGGTACGATGATGCACTGAGGCAAAAGCATTGGCCTGATCATAAAACGGAAACACCCATTTGAGCCCATGCTTCCCCGCATGCAGTTTGGCCACTGTCACATGCAAGATCGTATGCTCTCTACGCCGACGGGGCTTGCAGCCACCGGAATTGTCTGATCCATTGCCCTTCTTTCCGCCCATAGCTGTCCAGCATATGCCTTGCCCACGGGGTCTGACCGGTGCGCGATCCTCTCAGCTGCACGTCTCCTTGTTGTTGCCCCTTTGCACGCAACATCCAGGGCTAAACGCCCAAGAATGAGAGCATGCGTTGGGTGTACCTAGACGTGAACAGGAGATGATCAAATCTCTGGACATATGCACCATACATGTCGCAATTTTGCGGGGACGTCAATTCCATCAACAAACTCTCTCTGGGTGTAGACCACGGCGAAGCTGCACGTCGGGCTTTCGAGCGATCCAGCCTCCAAATCACACCGGCGAAATCCTCCCGAGCGAGAACATGATCCTGTTGTCCATCATCTGGGGTCCTATAAGACCACCATCATGACTGAAACGTGCACGGCATCATCCGTTGGAAGTGCGCCTGACAGGTCCGCTGGTCCGTGTCTATGAAATTCAGCATGAACTCGAAGATGTTATCATCTCACTTCAGGGTATCGTGGGACCTGTCGTATCCTAGCAGATTCCGGAGCTATGTCACAGCCCCCTATCTGTATCAGTCGAGCCTCCATGCTTCCATCTGGGCCATCCTGGCCAATGTTTTGAAACCGTTATTGAATCAATCCAAGACGAGTGCCAGCAATACGTCTGGACAATACCCACACCTGATGCCAATCATGTCTAATGTGTGCCTCTTCCAATTCAGTAGCGCACATATCTCTCATGCGTCAAACATATTGTCTTCGATAACGTCGAAGGTACTTGTTATGTAATGCTGCCTGCTGCTTCATCTCGTCGGTCACGATCTCGGCTGATATGCTGATACCCCTGTCTCATCACAATCGTAGTTGTGTCCTCTCCACGTCGTACCGTATTGAGCCTTCTCTCGAAAGAAAGTTTAGAGAGACGCCCGCCTGTAGGAGATCCCACTACGCGTAAATATCAGCAGCACGTTGATACATACTGCACTCTTGGATAACTTGTTCCTGTACTGCCCGCTCATCAAGCTTACCTATACACTCGTCAACATCAGCTCCTCCTTTCAGCCACCCACGCATCAACTTACCCTGGTTCCTGGAGGAGGAGAAAGAAAAGGAGGAGGAGGAAGAAGAGGGAGAGGACCACGAGGAGGAGGAGGAGGAAGAGGAGGAGGAGGAGGACCACGAGGAGGAGGACGAGGAATACGAGGAGGACTACGAGGAGGAGGAGGGGGAGGAGGAGGAGGAGGAGGACTACGGGGAGGAGGCATCTCGCAGAGCGGGCGAGCGCGTGCGGCCGAGTGCCGTGAGCGGCCGGCCTTCTGCGCGTGCAGCCGGTTTTCGGCCTGGTCGAAGACGACGGACTGCGGCCCGTCGATTACCTCGGGAGGGGGCTCGGGGGATCAGCAATAGAACGACCCCAAAAATTGGGGGGGGGGGGGGGCGTGAGTTGGGAGGGCCAGGAAAACTTTCGGGATAGGGGGTCAGACGGAGCCCACCATCTCATTAGGGTTAGGGAGTCGGTGATGCTTAATGATCGAGGGATCGAGGATCTGGCTTTTGCTTTTAGTGCAAACCCTACGGTCGGGAATGTCTGCCTACGAGTATCGCGGCGGCGGCCCCAGCGGCACGCTAGGCCCTGCAAGGGATATCGTGTCGCTGCGCTCGGCGGGAGGTGACGGGATGCCACGAAAAGCGCGGCACGTGGACGCCTGGGAACAGGAAGTGGACAGCGTTTCGCGCCGAGGCGTGGTGGGCCAGACCAGGCGGCGCGACACGCGAAGCAAAAGTTCCCAACCGCAGGCAACCGCACGTAAACCCTACCCTTCCAAGCCCCCTCCCCCCCCCAGAAGCAAACGTCTTTCAAAAGCAGTGGGAAAGCCATTGCGTGTTTGCATGACCGCATCTTCGACATGGCAGTTTGAAGCCTCGCGACGGCTCCAAGACGGCCCAGTGGCACCCCAAGAGGGGCCTGAAAAGGCAAGTCATTCTTCTGAAACGCTGGCTGGGGTTTAGAGCATGACGGCCGTACGGTCAGCGCCCTACCGGAAGGCCACAAGGAACGCCACACGCGGAACGAAGGGGCTTCTCCGCCCGCGGCGAGCCTCGGCTTCGAGCAGGCTCCCCGACCTAGGGAACGGCCTGAAAGCAGCAGCCCCTCCTGAGCCCACGGTGGTCCTTATGTCAGCATCTCGACCGTATGCAGCCGAGCGAGCCCCAGCGTGGGTGCCCGATGCAGTCAAAGCGTGTAGTCAGGACGGGCGGCCAGGAAGCAAAACCCTTGGAGGCCGACGTTGGGATCTTGGGGCGGCGGGCGACCAGCGGGAAGGGCAACGGACGGGCCGCGGAGGCAAGGACACAGGGGCACCCCGAGATTCGGGCGCGCGCCCTTACGAGGCGCGTCGGCTGTAACCCCAGCATCGAGCGAACTGGTGTCGGAGGAGGATGAGGAGGAGGAGGAGGAGGAGGAGGAGGAGGAGGAGGAGGAGGGGGAGGAGGAGAGGGAGGAGGAGGGGGAGGAGGAGGGGGGGAGGAAGGAGGGGGAGGGAGGAAGGGGGAGGAGGAGGAGGAGGATGAGGGGAGGAGGAGGAGGAGGAGGCGCGTCGGCTGTAACCCCAGCAGGGGTGGGGTCGGCAACTGGTGGCAGCGCTGCGCGCGCTCTCGGGGCCACCCCCCCCTTGCCGAGAAGCGTCGAGGGCCCGAGGCCTCCGACGGGCCTCCAGAGGCAGCCCGGGAGCCTCTCGTGGCCCTCGGAGGCCCCCGGCATCGCGGCCGAGGCTGCCCAGCGGCTCAGAGGCAGCGTCGCCGTGCTGTCGCCGTGCTCGTGCTCGTCGTCTTCTGGGGCTGCGTCGGCCAGCCCTGTGCACCATGCGTTCGCCTCGTGTCTGCCCCGTCTGGTCTCGGAGGCGCAGGCCCTCTTCCTCCTCCTCCCTCCTGTTTGCCTACCTCGCCTTCCCCCTCCACCTCCTCCTCCTCCTCCTCCTCCTCCTCCTCCTCCTCCTCCTCCTCCTCCTCCTCCTCGTTTTCCTCCTCCTCCTCCTTCTCTCCTCCTCCTCCTCCTCGTCCCTCCTCCGCCTCTCCTCCTCTCCTGGTCCTCCCCGTCGCCACCCAGCGTCCACCCTCCGATTTTCCCCTTCGTTGTCCTATTCCTCTTCCCCTTCTTTTCCCTTCTCCTCATCCTCCTCAGCATCATCATACTCATCACCATCCTTCTTCTCATCCTCATCCTCAGCACCATCACCATCATCATCATCATCATCATCATCATCATCATCATCATCATCATCATCATCATCATCATCACCATCATCATCATCATCATCATCATCATCATCATCATCATGCTCATCATCATAATCATCATCATCAGCAGCAGCATCATCACCAGCAGTATCACAATCAGCAGCATCGTCACCATCGTCATCATCATCCCCGTCCTCCTCATCATCCGCATCATCAACAGAAACACCAGCATCACCCGCTTCGCCATCATAACCATCATACTCATAAACAAAATCATGATCATACTCAACATCACCAGCATCATCAGAGTCAACATTATCATCAGCATCATCATCATCGTCATCATTCATTTTTCCGTATGAACAACTCCTCCCTGTCGAAGTCCGAGGCTGGTCGAAAAGGCGGGGCGGGCGCTTCGCTTGATACCCCCGCACCATGTATGGTCCTGAAACTGAAAAATTAGCACCAGCTTGGCGGATAGAGGGTGCGTTGTTTTCAAAAGGTGGCTATCGCATCAGCGACGCGCACATCCGTCTTAAAAAATTACAAACCGCTTCACGCATGGAGGGTGGGCCGCTTGCAAAATTTGAACCTCGCCTTCGCGTCGCGCGCATTCGTCTTAAGAAATTGCAGAAACGTTTTCGGGCGAAGCCGGCTCGCGTTCTACATGCGGCTTTCGTCTCAACGCCACGCACATTCGTCTTGGAAAACTGCAAGAGGCTCACTGGTGGAAGGCGGGTCGTTTTCAGAATGTGGCCCTCGCCTGAGCACCGCGCGCACTCGTCTCAATCACTCCGACGGTAGGACCCCGCACAATAATCGGTGTGGTTTGCCCCTCGCCTTTTATCTTCTTCGCCTGGCGGAAGTTTCCTTTCGCCCTCTCCGTCCTTTTCCTTTTCCTTCTCTTCCTTTTTCCTCCCCCTCCTGTTCCTTCTCGCCCTACTCGTTGCGTTCCTCATCCTCTTCCTCTTCCGCCTCCTGCGCCTCCTTCTCCGCCTCCTCCGCTTCCTCCCTCTCCTCCTCTTGCCCCTCCTACTCCTCGGCCTTTGCCTTGCCCTCCTCCACCTCCTCCTCCTCTTTCTCCCCCTCCTCGTCGCCGCCCCGCTCGTTCTCTTGCACCTTCCCTTCCTCCTGGCAGGGGTGCGCGCGTAGATTTCCCTCGGCGCCCTCGCCGCCACGCCTGGCAAGGGCGCGTTCTCCGACGGCGAAATCGCGCAGCCGTCGGGGACTGCCCCGCGGGCCAGGCCGTCGGGACAACCCCGCGAGCCGTTGGCGCGCGAGACCAAACCGTTGGGACAACCCCGCGGGTTCCGAGCGGGGCGCCGCCGCGCTAAGGCGGGGGGCAACACGAAACCCAACTCTGCCGCGAGCTACTCCGCCTCCGCCCTGGAGCTCTCCGCTCTGACGTCGAACTCCAGGAGCGCCTTCCGCAAGGATGCCGGCGGCCCTCGCTCCAGGAACTCTCGCGGCGGCGGCCGCAGGATCAGCATGTTCCGCATGCGCGCGGCACGGGGGAACATGACGTAGAGGTGCAACCACCACCGCTTGTCCGACATGCCCGTGCGACCAGCGTCCTCGTCCCTCGCGCGGTCGACGGCGACGCCTTGCGCAGCGTCTGGCAATGTGACAACGTGGAAGCGAGGTACGACGCGCACGTCATGGTGAACCCCGAACGGCGCACGGCGTGCGGCCCCGAACTCTGCCATGTGAGCTCCTGCTCGCTGGGCCTGAACATGAGCCCGTTCGTATATTCGGGCCTGTCACGCGCGTGACCGGGTGGGGAGTTCGTCGCGCTGGTCACGCCACGGCGAGGATGCGCCTGTGGTGCCGCAACATGCCCGTAAGTACTGCAGCGCGCCTGCGAAAAACAGTCGCCTGCGACCCGACAAACACGACGTGCCTGTGACTACCGCCACGAAAGCTTGCGATCCGATCAACGAGATGTGCCTATAAACACCACAACGCTTTTGAAGAGCACAGCGTCCATGAACACCACAGCACCTGTGAACATCACAGAGCCTGTGAACACAGCGCCTGCGGACACCACAGCACTTGTAAATACCACGCCGCCCGTGCACACTACACAGCCGGAAAGCGCCACAGCGCTTGTGAGCATCACAACGCCTGTGAACACAGCGCGCACGACCAACGCAAAGCATGGGGTCTGGCGGCAGTGCGCAAGCACTAGCAGTAGAAGTAGCAGTAGCAGTAGTCGTACGAGTAGAACCAGCAGCAGTAGAAGGAGAAACAGTCGTAGTAGTAGTAGTAGTAGTAGTAGTAGTAGTAGTAGTAGTAGTAGTAGTAGTAGTAGTAGTAGTAGTAGTAGTAGTAGTAGTCGTAGTAGTGATAGTCGTAGTGATAGTCGTAGTCGTAGTCGTAGTCGTAGTCGTAGTCGTATCAGCGCGATCGAGAAAAAGGCCAGCAGTAGCAGCAGCCAGTAGTAGTAGTAGTAGTAGATTTGTGGTAATTGTTGTAGAAGTCCGTACGTCGTTTATCAAGATATAGATACCAGTGTTAGTAATAGTCGATATAGCAGTAGTAGTAGTATTCGCAGTAGTAGTAGTAGTAGTAGTAGTACTCGTAGTAGTACTAGTAGTAAGTAGTCTAGTAGTCAGTAGTAGTAGACGTAAGTTGTAAGTATGTGTAGATAGTATCGTTAGTAGTAGGAGCAAGGTACTGAGTAGCAGTGGTACTAGTAGTCATGTACAATAGTAGTTAGTAGTAGTGCAGATAATAGTAGTACAGTCAGTAGTTAGTAGTAGTCGTAAGTAACTAGTATGGTACAGTAGTCGTAGTACCTAACACTAGTATTTAGCGTAGTCGTAGTCGTAGTAGTAGTAGTAGTAGTAGTAGTAGTAGTAGTAGTAGTAGTAGTAGTAGTAGTAGTAGTAGTAGTAGTAGTAGTATTAGTAGTAGTAGTAGTAGTAGTAGTAGTAGTAGTAGAAGTAACAGCGGTAGTCGTGCTAGTTGTAGCCGCAACTATAACACTTGTAGAAAGAGTTGTATTAGTAGCAAGTGTAGTAGTAGTAGTAGTAGTAGTAGTAGAATTAGTAACTGTAGTACTAGTAGTACTACTACTGCTACTACGACTACTAATAATAGCCGTGGTAGTAGAAGTAGAAATAATGACAATAATCAG